ATGATCTTTGGTTTGTATCTAACCCTTGTGATGCAGATTTCTTCCTTGCCAGCAGTATACAAGATTTTTTTATTCAGTTTGATGAAGTTTTGTTTACCAATTAATAAACATAATTTTTTCCTTTGTTGAGTGTTGTTTAGCTATTTAGTGAGAAGCACTGCTGACTACAGACACACAAGATTTCTACCTATTTAGTGTTCTTTTAATGAGATACTGTTGCTCAGTGAAACTTTCCTTTTTTGTTTAAAATAATTATTGCTGGAGAATTTGTCCCTTTTCAAGCCTCAGTAATATTGTTCAGTTTCTCTTCCAAAGAACACTACATGTTAATGTGTAATATAACAAAATTGGTGAGGCCAACCATATATGGAATCATTGGAATACCCTATTGTCTTTTGTGCTGGTTTTTTATGAAATATATGTCATTCATGAAAAAGTTATATTCTTTGAGAAGAGAGAACTAGTAGTGAATCTGAGGATTATGAAACCTCCCTTCATAGTTTCAGCTCTCTGAAGCACATTTAAATGCTTCTTATATATATATTTTATTCACATGAATGAAGCCTCTCTGACACTTGAAGACCAGAAATTCCATCATCTTCTGATAGAAAACAACACTTGCAACATAAATGCATATATAATGCAGTCATTTTGAACAATTAAATGATGATGTTAAGTTCTTGTAAATGTTGGATCCTGCTTTCTTTTATTGTTCAAGGAATATGTCACTGTTGTGTTGCAGTTGCTTTGCAGGTGTTACCTGCAAATTGTCTCTCAGATTCAATACAATACCTTGAAGACATGTTTGAGATTCAATGAACCGAAAATTGATATCTGAAAGATGAGAAGGTAAAACATTTAACTGTTAAACGTTTCCTAAGTAACATAAAAGTGAAACAGTTGAAAGTTGAGTGCAAAACATTTTTACTCAACTTTTGGATTATCTACTTTGCACCAGGGAATTGAGTTTTCACTGTCTAACATGCAACCATGACTGAAAAACCTTTTTATTTCTCTCTCTATTTGTATTTTGATTTTTTATTAAATTTCAACCAAATATAATTTCGTTTAAGTTTAATCTAAAATTTCAACCAAATTATTAAGCTAATGTTTTAAATGTTTCAATTAGAATCAATTTTTTATTTTTATTATTATTAAAATTGTAGTTATTTTTAAAAAATAGATAAAAATTATCTAAAAAAATTATATTTTTTAATAAAAGATTGTGAAATATTTGACAATATTTTTTATGATTGTTACTACATTTCTAATTCTAATTTTACTTATATTTATAATCAAGTAAAATTTATGTAGTCTTATAATTAAAAATCACAATATAAATTTATTATTTATTATCATTGATAAGTATATATATATATATATATATATATATATATATATATAATAAGTAAAATTTAACTGAATCATAAAATAATCTTTAAAAAAACATATTTATGTATGTTTATTAATAATTAATAAATTTTAAATATAATAAGATTTTTAGTTTGATTTGTTTTTGTTTTTATTTTGTAATCTGAAATTTGAATTATATTATGTGATTTAGAAAAAATAATTTTTTTATCAATTTTCAATTATTTTTCTGAACAAATTTATTTATGATAATTATTTATAATATTAACTATTTTTCCCTCTAATATAAAGTTTAAAATTATCAAGACAATATTTGAGAAGTGATTTCAATTGATTTTTAAATTTTGTTATTATAATTATAAGAATGTTTTACTTTAATAATATATATTAAACAAGTTTTTTAATAGTTTATAGTTATTTTTGACATTACTTTAAGTAGTACTTCTTAATTATAACATCTTAAAATTTGTTTTACTTTTATTTTAAGAGTGTTTATTAAATTTATTGTTGTTTACATCATTATAATGGGTGAATTATTGGTTACTAAACTAAATTGTGAAAAATGAGTTGCATTATTTAATAGTGTGATAAATTGTGTTGCATGAAAACACGCAGTGGTAAAATGATTAGGATTACTTTAAACCAAAAAATATAAATTGAATGCGCAAAAAGTAATTAATAACCTGAATATAATAATAATGATTAATAATGAGTAAAGGATGTTATTAGTGAAACTAATGTTTTTAAAACCAGAACACAAAATTGAAGAAGACATGAATTTAAAGTTCAAATTTAATAAATAATAATTTATAATAAATATATAATAATTTCATCAGTAACAATATATTTTATAAAAGAAAAAAATAATAATAAAGGTGATTCACATAGTCAACTAATGTTACAAATATAAAATATAATATAAATAATGATTAAAATAAGATAAAAAATATAATAAAATAATTATTATTAAAAATTAACATAATTAATATAAAATAATATTCAGTTTTCAAAACAATCTCTCTAACACAATTTAGTTTTATAGTCACAATCTAATGGAGTAAATGACATTCTCACAATCTAAACAATCATTTTAAATCTTTATATTATGATTAACTTGATATATTCATTTTAGAGTGATCTACATAATCTAATTTTTCTAACCAAATGATCAACTGAATCATGATGTAAAAAAAAAAAATATCCTGTTTACATAAAATGATAAAAAATATCTTTTCAAGTTCATAGAAATTTTGAAAGTCAATGATTTTATTACAAATTGAACGAAAACATAGCTAAATTATATTAACGAGGTGTAACAAATATGCATATTTACTTATCTGGTTTGGAGTCAACTCCTCTAGTACTTTTATTTCAATGAAATCAAAACTATCATATACTTTCTTTAATGTTGAGGAACATTTTAATTAGGTTTGCATAGACATTTTGTTATATCAATACAAACTCAAATCACAATCATCTCGTTCAAGTTAACTTTTCTTTTTGAATTATTACAAAAACTAAGCAAATTAAAATAGACTGTCTTAAGATTTTTTTTTATATAGTTTTTTTACCTTACTCATGCATAAATATATGACAAATCTTCTTAAAAAAAATCTAAAAATAATATAGAAATTGTATTAAGTAAGTCTCTCCAAAGAGTGATAAACCTTCTTATCAAATTTTATAACTTATACATCTATTTTTCTTTTTCTTCTAAACTTAATGATAACTAAATATACTTATTTATATATAATTTTAAGATAATTAAATATACTTATTTATATATAATTTTAATCACCCACCTATAATACAAAATTATTATTTATTAATGATATGATCTAATTATTTCAACAAAACCTTCAATCAACAAGGTGAATGATTGAATAATTGTTTAATTACTTAAAAGAGTTATTTTCATAATATTGGTAATGAAACGTACATTTGTAAAATATAATAATTTAAATTTTTTCTTAATTTTTATTATAATATTAAGCATTTGCAAAATTTTATGTTATTTTTCATTTTTTAAAATATTTTAAATTATTTTCTTTCTTACTAAAAAATTTTTTAGATTAACTGATTTGTATCACTTGTAGGAATTTTTCCTCCCTAATATTTTCACTCATTTTACCATCAAACTTCTGAATTTTCACATTTCCAATGGAGTCATTATGTCTCACATCAATTCGTCTTTTTTTAATACTATACTCACATTCTAATTCTTTCCATCCTTTCTTTAACAACTAAAAAATAGAAATGAAATTACTCGTGAATTTATTGACAATTTTAAGTTATTATTATACAAATATTTAATAAAATTTATTGACAAATACTTTCACCCTTCCTTTAGCAATTTAAAAAAAAAACTCATTTATAGATTTATTGACAAATTTTTACTTTTATAATAAAAATTAAATATTATTACTCTCTTAATTTAATTTACTTTTCTTGTTTGTTATTTTGTAATATATTTGAATAAGTTAATAAAAAATATTTAAAAACCGAAGTCAAATATCAATATCACGTGTAAAATATATATATATATATATATATATATATATATATATATATATATATATATAACTAGATTTTATTGATTGAACATAACTTTAGTAATAATCTAAAAACTAATTATAAATAGTATAATATATAACAATAGAAAAAAAAATATTACCTAAATGCAAAAGAGAAAAAAAATTGAAATTAGAGAAGAGAAATTTAATATTATAAATAAAAAATTTAAATAAAAAATAAATTTTTCATATGCTAATTGATCATTAACTAGTAAAAATATAAATATATAAAATATCTCTCATAAGAATAACTCACATAAATTATTTTTTATCTTAAAAAATATAAAATATAAATTTATAATATCATATCATTTTTATAATTTATAAATGAATTAATTATAAAAATTTTAATTTACTATACCACATAAAATTCCTTCAAAATTACTAAACACTTAAACATTTCAACAAACAACTCTTCAAATAACTGGACACTTAAATATTTCAATAAATAAGATGCTCCAAAAGTTAAATTGATTTTAAATTTTAAACATCACAATGCAATATACAAAATCATATTAATAATAAAAGATAATACATCTTTATCTTTATAAAATTAAAATTTAAACTTCATGTAAACATGAAAAAAGTAAATTATATATATAAGAGAAACTAAAATAATATATTATATTTAAATTCAACAATAACAAATAGCACAACTATTTTTCATAAAAGAGAAATCTTCTAAAATCCCAGTTAAATACACCCGTAAGTGGCAATAAAATCAAATTGAGTTCATAAATCAAATATTTAATTATTGTAGTACCGTTATTATTACATGCTTATTACCTTGGTACTTTTTGGTTTTACCTTTTTATAAGAAAAATTAAATTCATATGTCAAACCCTTCAGCTCATCACTTGAGAATTCACGTGACAAATGATACAGAATACATAATCAAATGCACATTTGATCATCATTCTAATAACAGAAATGTGGAATTTTACAATCTAGCTTTTGCAGGTTCAGTCCCATCAGCATCCCCAATTTCCCCTCCCTCAAAGAATAACTGTACAAATAAATAATTTGTTGTGTGGAATGGGAGATAAATAACCATTACTAAATTTTTTCCTTTAAGATGCCTTGGCTTTCATCACATTTCAGTAGTGTCATTCGCTGGGACCTTGAAAAACCTTGCCTGTTATTAAGAATATCAATGTAATTTCGAAGTCTGTAACGATCTGAGTTTGTCAGAGAAAACGGAGGATTAAGAATCAGGGATGGTCCTTCCACTAGAAGGAAAACTAGCAGACGGACAGCTTTTGAATACAATGCAGCTGCACTTTCCATGTCACCCATCAGCTCCTCTACCTGCCAACAAATAAAAAAACCTCAGCTTGGATCACCAATTCAATCTTCAGGTTTGCTCAGTTTTAGCATATCCTTAAAGTGTAAGATAACCTTAATTTTGCATGATAAATTATGTGAAACCTTTCTCTTTTTATTTACATTTTTAAAATTGTATTTTCAAAATGAGCTTCCATGAAACAGGCCAAAATGGATGAATGAGAAGCAGGAAAAAATACTCACACCCCCGTGCCTTCCAAAAGCAAGGGCAGATTGAAATATTGTCTCCATTGCATCTGGCATCTCAGTGTTTCCTGCAATCAGGACAGAAACAGTCTCCATTATTATAAATTTCATATATTATGTAATGAAACTATAAGAATCTGTCTCACTCCCTTTCACTCACACAAAGAAAGGAGACAAGGGTTACTTTACATTTCATGCATATATTATAAAGAGGCCATAGGCTCTAAATAGTCCCTTCAGTCAAACTCAAGAGAACAATTACGAGTTTATTATGATTGGTAAGTGGAGAAATAGAAATTTAGTCACTGTTGTTAAAATACTGAGTCAACATATTATTAGTTTATGATTGTAAGTAGAGAAATTAACAATCATTTCTGAATAAAGTTGTGAAGACTGGGTAAATTCATTCAAACATGCATATATTAACAATTTTCTCCCAATTGACCGACATTCACAGTCTTCTTTACTTACCAACACTACTATTTCTGCAGGCAACAAAATAATAAATTGATCAAACCATCTGTTGTATGTTTTCCGCAAACTAATCAAACCTTAACCGTAGTATGAAATTTTGATGCTTTCAAAGTTAAGCATTGTCAAGTTATTATGTTCTATTGGGACAGCGTCTGTCAAGAGTGATGAGCCGACATCACAAGAATCCATCATGTCAGCCCATTGTATAAGAGCAAATACATGAGCAAAATGTGGGGCTTTGCACAAACAAGAAGGACCAAGCTATTGTGTTTTGATATGGAGTACCAGACGAACACGATTAAATCCATCTAACATATCATGTAACAAGAACTTGTATAAACATCACTTGTGATATTTCAATAACACTCAGACAGCCTTTTTAGTACAGTTTTCAAAACCAAAACAAATGATAAATGTTCAGGGACGTGTCTTTGTGTCTATACTACGGCCTGAGATAGGTTTTACCTTAATTTTTGATGTTTTGGATATTATCAGAGTTTTATAAATAATGGTATATTAGGTAAACTAAGTTTACAAATCGAATCTATGGATATCTTTTGCTAAAAAAATGGTACTGAATATGACGATTATAGTTGTTTCATGTGTGATTTGAAAAAAGCTTATGGGACAGCACAATTTACGGAAAGACAGACAGGATACAAGCTTAAATCATGAGAACTCAAGATCGTTAAAATACAAAAATACACCACTTCTCTTTCATCTCTCCTCCACCTCTCTATGTAATATGTGAAGGTACCACAAGTGCAATTAAGTAAACAAAGCATGTTAAGGAGGCTATGGTTAGCCGGTCTATATGTGTGGCATGTGATCCAAATGATGCAGGAATCAGGAAGAGCACAAGGACCAGAATAACAAATTCATGTTTGAAAGAATCGTAGGTGATAACAATTAGTTATATAGACCTAGGCCATGATAAGGGAGGGGGATTAGAGTGATTCTGTTTTCTATCTCTATTCTAGTTCTGTGACTTCTCTGTATCGCTATCTTTGTGATTCTATTTTCTCTTTATGTTATGGTTCTGTGACTTTTCTCTGTATCTCTGCTTTGCATAGCTTCTACCTAGTAGGACCCGTTATACTATCATAATATACATAGAGATTCTTTCCTTTCGTACACCGAATATTTAAAATCATAGTTATAACTTATATCTAAAATACACCATTACACTCCTCTACCCCTCCCCCCTCTCTCCCAGAGACATTTAATAACTTCTTTAAACTGCCATTGCTTCTCCACATACTTGAAAAGAACATGGAAAAGTTATTTTGTCACACACACAAAATATATATATATATATATATATATATATCCATTGGTATATTAAAAGAAAATGAAGGATGAAAATAGAAAGTAAATCTTTTGAAATTACTCAGGAAGTAACTTGTTCTCTTTTCATATTTATAATAATATACATATTTTATAATATATAATGATACGAATTACATAAGTACTAATATTCAAAAGGATATTTTAGTGAAATTACATCATTATGCTTGTACCATTGTCCATTAAACAAGGTAGGGGATAAAAAGTTGTATTGTAACTTAAGGATTTGTCCTATACTATTCCCTAAGTGTTGTACCTTAGTGCATATCAATTGTACCCTATGAGTCAAGTTTTGGAATAAATCAATATATCATTATCCATAGCTAAACACAATTTTCCTTCTGTCATCTCCAACGATGACTCTTGACAACAATATTACTTCCAATTTAGTTGATATCGCATCAGCTTCTAAAACCTAGAAGTTTAAACGAAAGAAAACTCTTTTAGGTGCAGAACATAGCTTAATTTAAGAATAGGAAGGGGAGTTAATTAGCCATTTAGCCCATAATTTAAAATAAAAGAAGACATACCAGGCTCAACGGTTTTGGCAAGTTCTTCAGCATGCTCAAATTCCCTCAAAAATTCACTTTCAATTTTAGATAATATATCCTTTGGCCCTAGGGTGTTTCCCTCAAGGCATTCTTCCGAATCAGGACTGCCAACCTTCCTGCTGGCACTCCTTCTATATCTTGAAGTTTCTTGACTAGGACTCCCTTCCATGGCTGAGGCAGCTTGTGTATGGCATATGTGCAGTGCTTGCTTCCAGATTGCAAGAATAACAAGCTGAATAGAAAATGCTTCTAGATGCTTTCCTGCCTCCATCTTTGACATTTTTTTAAGAGTAGGATATGGAGAAGTTCAAAGGACGAGTATCATTAATATTAACACAGTAACACAAATAAGAACTTAAACATTTAGACAAATATAACCACTTTACATAATGTCAAAGGCAGCAGCACAAGACACTAAGGCCTATGTAAAAAGGACACAGGTTTCAATCATTTCCATTTCCCAACAAAGGGAAAGATCCTCATAATGCATACAGAAGGAACAAATAAAAGTATTATACAAAGCAATTTCCATTTTGTATTAGGCATTATCACACATCAGCTGCGTTTCACAAAGTAACTAAATAGGCCATAACCTGTTGATTCACCCTATTATACGTAAAGGCCAAATAAAAATACCTAACTATCCTATTGTCTAAATAGAATGAATGTATCCATTATATGAAATATATAGTATCATTCAAAATACTAGATCACAAACTAAGCTGATTAGTTTAAAAGATCATTTAGTAGGCTCCATTCAAGAGAAGGAACTAGTTCATGATTTTCACATATGCACATTCCTCAACCTAAGTTTTGAGTAAACAGTCCATTTCATCCCTGAACTATAAGTATATGAAATCATACTCAGTCCCCCAACAACTAAAAACTCCTCAGATTTGGTCCCTAAACTTCGAAAAAGTACATTATAGAGGGAATAAAGTAACATATGTTCAATACTTCAGAGATTATTTAAACAATTTTCTTACTTAAGGAACCACTTAGGAGAGAGTAATAGTTTGGGGACAAAATTAATGGTTTATTCAAATTTTAGAGACAAAATTACATCATATAAGATCACAGTAGCAAGCAAACTTTTAACATTTACCTTTTCATTAACTAATTCAGTGATGGCAGATGCACACTGTTGCAATGATTTTACCCTTGTCATGCAGTGGGCTGATGGCTGTTCATCACCTGTATCCATTGATCCAAGCGAAGTCCCAGGAGCAGAGTCCTGACTTCCTGAACTTCCAATTTGGTATGTGCTATTGGTGGGTACACCAACTATTGGCATTGGAGCACTTGGTCTACTGAGTGTACTAGAAGACTCTTGGGGTAAACTACCAGACCTATATGGGGTATGGCTGGGCCTTGAAGTACACACCAAAGAAGATGAAATATCTATAGGGGGGCCAGGCACCAGTACATATTCTTGATCAATATTCTCCAGGGAATCCGTAACTGTCATGCATTTCACAAGCATTATACATAAAATAGAATAAGAATACCCTGAATCCCAACTATGAAAACAGAAATGAGAACCAAAAAAATACTTTGTATTACCTTTTGGATAAGAACTTGCGATCATCCGTTCTGGAGATCCTAGAGGATCAGTGACATTTCTTGAAATTTTATGGTTGTCCAATCTTCTAGCAGTATTTTCAGAGCTTTGTGTTATACTACCAAATCCTGAATTAGAATTTATGTTATTAGACATAGGAGATGCTGATTCTGGTTTATCTAGTTTAGAATTTAGATCAAATCCATAGGTGGACTTTATTGAGGACTTTTTTCTCGAAAAGGATGGACTCCCCTCAGGGCCACTAGGGTCATCATCTAGGATGAAAGGCAAACAATCTTCTTGATAGTTTTCCTCAGTTGTGTTCAAAGGGTCAGACACTGTAGGAAAAAACCCACCAACCAGCCTTGAAGAACTTCTACTCCTGCGTACCACAAACTATTTATATCTGCAAATTCAAAAACCTAATAACCATAAATTATAAGAGCCTGTATTTTTACCTCAATGGCTCATCAACCTGTTCTCTTTGCTTCTGAGAAAGAAAAGGGTGGTTAAAAAATTCTTCAAAAGTTAGACGTTCCACTGAAGTTAAAAAAAGACACAAACATTGTATTAGAGTAAGATAAGATATGGAATGTGCTGAAATCATGACAAAAACCTTATAAACTTATATCATCCCCTTTTCCTTGTTTCTCTCACACAAAACTGTTGAAAAAATGTAGTATAAAAGACTGTTGGTTGGAACACAATGGGTAAATTTCCCTCAATTTATATTTTATATTAAAAACTAGGGATTATTTTCGAGCATATTTTATCATTCAATCATCATTAAATAACCTCCAACTATTATCAATTCCCAAATTAATTACCCTTTAACGTTGGGCAACCTTTCCTCAATTCTTAATACTCTCTTCCAACATTGCCTCCCTATACCCCTAACAATGTGTAACAGCTTTCCTCTGCAACAGGACCCTTGTATCAGGTAGTTATGTATCTAAATCTTGCCCAGAAAGGCAAAATAAGTATTCACCTATCAAGAGGTCTGATTTACATTAGAAAAAATAGCACAATCAAAATAGCCCTTGATCTAGTTGGTATGGTATTGGTTAGCAGGAGAATGAGTTATTTAAAAGCCTGAGATAGCAAGGAAAATCAGATTTGTCAGCTCAATTTTGTGAAGGAGCTGTCATGCGGATGCTAACCAAAGCAAATTGAATTTTATGTAGGCAGGTTTGAAAGATGCATGCACTCCCACACCCTATAAAAATGATTAAATAAACTGGCCACAAATTCACCCTTCATTTACGTCTCAGATTTTATTCTTCAATAAAATCAAAACAGACCTGGATTCCGACGTAGCAATTTCTGACACAAATCTTTGCATTCAAAACTCAGACTTGGGCTATCAGATGGAAACTGCAATTCTGTTGATTTCATAATATTCTGTAGTAACTGCAGAATTCATGGTTATAAGGTACATTAAGTTAATCAAGGCAGCAAAAAAATACCCATTTGGAGGGCAATATTACTGTTGTAGCACCAAACTAAATACATTATTGATTAGAAAGAACAACTTTGCTTGCATTGAGAGAATACTAAAAAGACTACAAAAAAGGCCACTATATCAATTCAATACCTGTATTTGATTGTTTCCAGTAAAAGGTGTTCTTCCTGTAACCAGCTGAAATAAGATTGCACCAACACTCCAGAGATCTGCCTGTATGTTCAATTAGAGATAAATAGGAAGGAAACTAAACATGAAAGCGTTGGTGTTCCAATGATATTAAATTAAAATCACCTTAGCATCATACTTCTGCAGTTGCATGATTTCTGGAGCCATATAGAGTGGTGAGCCACACAAGGTTTCAGCAAGGCCCCTAGGTTGCAATGATCTGCCCAACAAGAAAAATGTGCTTTAATGTCTATGTTATAGAAGGTAGCATAGAGAAGAACCTTTTTCAGAAAGAATACCGAGCCATTATTTTGAAAGTCAGAAAGATACACAGGCAAAACAGAACAGAAGAATGTCAAAGCATGTAAGATGGTATAATTTAACAGCTCACAATGTAAAGACTTTTCTTGCAAGTTTTAAACCCAAAACTATTTGTATTATTATGATCAACACATTGAAATCACTTATAAACATATTTCCACTAATAATCTCAAGTAAAATATCGAGCCACATACATCAAGCGTAATGCTGGGCTATCATGAGTCTTAAGCATTTTTTTGGGTCTTCAAGACAGATGAATGATGTAGAAATAATTAGGCTACCTTGCAAATCCAAAGTCAGCAATCTTCAGCACTGACTTCTCATCATTTTGGGAGAGAAGAAGGTTCTGTTTCAAGGATGATAATGATTACCATACTTAGATAAAATAACAACACAATCTTCATATAAAGATTAAATTTACATAGAAGGGGATTAGCTAGAACACTGAACTAATGAAACATAAACCAATCAATAGGCATTTATGTTGTTGAATTAGAATCAAAATAAAAAACCTGTGGTTTCAGATCTCGATGAATAAGGTTATTATCCCGAAGAACTTGTAGACCAGCAGCTGAAAAACAGAGCAGTCATTTATTACTAGAACATTCAACGAGAACATAACTGTATACAGTTGAAACATACCCAGCTGCTGCATAAAATACTTTGCAGTTGTCTCTGGTACCCGTCCATGGTGTTGAATGTACAAGGACAGATCTCCCCCTCTACAGTATTCTAGCACAAGATGTATCTTCCCAGGAACCTACATAAAGTGAAAGACACTTCTCAGAAAAGACTTTCTTGATGCACCAAAAAATGCATATTTCTTTTGGCATCACACTTACCACAAATAATAATTTCACCCCAGACCAATCTATTCATAGAATATTACTTTCTACAGTACTTATTCAAACCTTAGAATTTTGGTTTTGAATAATATATGCCAAAAATTAATACGTAAAACAATTCATACCCTAGAGACAACATATTTCATCTACCAGCACAAAATAAATCCAGCCTAGATTTAAACAACCTTGGTTATTTTACAACCAATGGTCATCATCACTAATCACTGCTCCTTTGTTTTCCATACTATTAAACTTTGGGTTTGGACCTAACTTAACTCAATAAAACAGGTTTGTCAAGTGAAGGTTGTGCCACCATTTATATACTAAACCACCACCCTCTGATGTTGCAGTTAAGGCAACCCCAAAGAGACCACAACTGAGGTAGGCTAGGAGTGGAGAGCAGCTAAGGCAGATTTTCAACACTCCTCACGCCTAGGATTTCCAGTCTGCAACAAGGCAATTGCAAGTGGATCCAATAATGGATCTAGGATTGGTTCTTATACTATCTTAAACTATGGGTTTTAGACTAATTCAACCCAACAAAACAGCTTGTAAGGTGAGGGTTGCCTCCTACTTATATACTATACTTTAGTCATATCAATAGTCAATATGATCTAAATCACCAACCTTGAGGCTGCAATCAACACAAACCCCAAAGAGACCACAATTAAGGCGAACAAGGGATGACTGAAATGTTGCCTCCTACACTAAACCAGGCTTAAGACTCAGCAAGATTCATGATCACGACTTCCCCAGTTTAATTAAACAGAAAAACAGTGCATTGTTGTTATCTTAATAGAGAGAGCTTACATATTGCATTTTCTCAAAAATAGAGAAAAGCATGACCTAGGTACCAGTGGGATGCAATTAAACCCGAAAGCAGAAAGGTTACTACCTCCTATAAATACATAATAGCATACACAGCCATAGAGTTCTAATGCAGACACCCCTACTATTGTAAAATCTGTTTCCTCTTTAAATTCCACAGTACAGCACCCACATGGCACTAACCATGGTTATCATGCTCGGAGACACTTTCAAAGGTTTTGTTTCTTCCAGTAGTGAAATGGCAGATTGCGAACATTCTTTCTCACTATTGAAAAAAACATACTGTTCAAATCTTTCCAGTTCCCACCCCAGATAAAAGCAAAATCACCAGTATCAAAATCATCAATCACCACACATTTTCAAGCTACTAACATTTCACCACTTCACTGTAAAGAATGTATACTTAAACCAATGTGCCAACCGCAATTGCACACCCTTAAAAAAAATAAATTATAAAAACACTCATTCACCCAAAAATAAGAGAATCCACAAACTAATAACGTTTCCCGAAATTCCAAATCATACAAAATCTTCATCAATCCCCGCCAACCCAATGAGTTTGACCCAACTGGCAATACACCCTAAGCTTCAGAGTGATTAAATTCCAACATAACACATCTTTGGAGAGGAGTGATAAGTTTTAAATTTAACCAAGTCCCAGACAAAGAATTAATCTCTCAAAAACCCCAAACTTATCAGGGTCCCACAAAACAGTGAAAAGCATTAATCAAGGTGGTTACAACAAAAACATTCCAGACCAAAAACAAAAACCAAAATCGAAACCTAACCTGAATGATATCGTACAAAGAGATTATGTTAGGGTGGTTAATCCGCTTCAAGATGAAAATCTCGGACATGAGGCTCTCCTGCAGCTTCTTGTTGAGGCGGAGCATGGCAATCTCCTTTATCGCCACCTCGGTTCCGTGCACCTTGTGCCTTCCGTGCCACACCACCGAGAAAGACCCCTCACCGATTCGCTTCCCCACCACGTAGTCTCCGACCACCCTGCTCCGCCCCACCGCCTGTGTCATCGCCGCCCTCGAATCCGTAACCCTAAACTCCAAAAACCCGATTACCTTAAACGGATCCTCCGAACCACTTCCTCGGGTTTTGGTGTTTTTTTGCAGAACAATTGGGTCAGAAAAGTTTCGAGGTTTTTTTGTTTTTTACTCAAATGCGACGGTGCTTTTGAACAAACACTTTACTTTGAGTTGAGAAAATTTATTAGTGTTATCCTTTCCCAAGAGACGACAATTATAATCATTATTATTTACCCTATTTTTATTAATCTTCTTTTTTTAAATTTATTAAACATAACTTGATATTTTGTAACCTTTGTCTATATTTTTTTGTGTATTATGATTCTTTTTAAGTTAAAATCAATATTTACTTTTCAGTATTATATTTTCACTAGCCATTATATTTTGATCCATTACATTAAAAAGAGAGGAGTAAATGTCCAAGGTTTTATAAATAATGTTGGGTCATTTGTAGAGCAAATTACAGAAAGAAGTCACGCCTAACTTGAATATTCCAAACTCTTTTAGTAAAACAAAGGATCATAATTAGTTATTTAGGTTTTATTTTTAAAGATTCATGCATGTGATCGCATGCTATTTTAGAAAGGGAATATGAGAGTCTCGATGTTTGCAATATTTAAAAATATTTAATATAGAAAGATTTTTCGCAAGTAAATTTTGAGTTTGATCAACTTGTATATATATATATATATATATATATATATATATATATATATATATATATATATAATTAAATAAAAATTATTTTAAATATTAATAATATCTTTTTATCTTTTTATACCTCACTTTTGATTTACAATAAAAAATATTTTTCTTTTATACAAATTTTAAGTTTTATCTTTGGACTTTATTTTTTTTCTCTAGTCCCTTTTCACTTTTTTACTTAAATTTTTTATATAAAAACTCTATTTTTTACTTTCATAATTTTTCTCTTTTCTCATTTTTTTTCATAATATAAAATTTGTAAGTTTTTCTTAGTTTTTCAAATTTTCCCCTTTTACAGTTTCACTTTTATAGTATAAAAATTGCAACTTTTTGTTTTTTTTTTTCTCTTTAAAGACATTTTCATGTTAGGAAAAGATAAGAAGTTAAAAAATAAATGAGATATTCTCCAATATTTTTCTTAAACATTTAGTAAATTTGTTTATTTGTTACAAGTTAGTTGTTTTAATATTTTATGATGTTTTATTTTGATGTTAAAATATGAAATAAAAAATCAGGTTAAACTTTAGAGATATCTAAGGAGAAAATTATAGACTCATTTTTCAGGCAAAAAGAGAGGATAAATGATGAAATAAACTTTAGTTTACCAAATTTAAATTCAACAAGTAATGGTGAAAATATAGTTGAGCAATCTACAATTAATCAATTTATTCAATAATTTTTTTTCAAAATTACGAGGATTGAACATGAAAAAATTGATTTTGATACGTGATCCTATAAAGTGTCCATAGATTTAGAATTATTCTATTAATCAACAAGATGAAATCCATAAAAAATATATGCAGTTTGAGTCTTAATTGTTTTTTATAGATGAATATCCACTTTTGGGTTTAGATAATCATTCTCATCGATTTTAAGTTAATAGGTTTAAAAAAATTTATTGGTTAAAGTATTCATCACAAGTAGACGTTGCATTTTGTCTTTCATACCATTTTTTTTTCTAGGAAGTCTACTTCATTTGCTATGGGAGGATTTAGAAAATGATAAAAAGGTAAATAATAAAAAAGATTGTGCATTTTTATCTCATCTAAAAAAATCTCATAATTCTCCTCACAAAACTTTTGCTAAATGTGACGAAGACTAAAAGAATCAATCATGTCATATTGACAAAGTGTTACCTAAGTACTCTTCACAACAAGTTTTAACTAATGGATTGCGTCTTAAAGTTTCTATTGATGTTATTAAGTAGTTAATATTTCAATCTTGTGTTTTTAGAGGTCATGATGAAAGTTTAGAATCTAATAATCAAGGCAACTTTCTTGAAATGTTAAAACTTTTAGCTTTTTACAATAAATGAATGGATGCAATTGTTTTAGAGAATACCCCTTAAATACAAGATGCACATCGCAAACTATTCAAAAAGAAATTTTACATTTTTTTACTAAAAAGATTCAAAGTGAAATTTGTATTGAGATTGAAGATGCAAAAGTTTGTTTGATTGTTGATGAAATTCAAGATGAATCTTGTTGATTAAGAAGTATTTATTAGTGTCTAAAAGATGTAATACATCTAGGGATGTCAATATGGGTTCTAACTCGTGAGCCAACCCGGCCACCACGGTTCGAGCTGGGTTGGGTTCGATTTCTTTTATTTTTACCGATTATGAGTTAAAAATGAACCCGGTTCACTTAACCCACGGGTTAAACGGGTTCGAGCCGGGTTATGGTGGGTTGGCCCGTAACCCACCATTAATTTTAAATTTTAAAAATAATTATAATATTTTAGTAACCCTAATTGATGTTATCCTGTCTTATCTCTACCCTACATTGTTGGCTGTCGACACACGCCAAACCTTCACTTAAACTTGTTATCAGTTGTTTGCTGCACCAATATGTTTGTCGCTACACTTGGGTCACTTGTCTTATTATCTGTCCACCGCACCACTACACCATTGTGTCCACTGTATTGCTTTCAAAGGTAGTTTCATAACCTAAACTATTGGATTGATGAATCTTTATTTGAAAATTGTAGCATCTATACATTATTTGTTATTTGTTATTGATTTATACGTATATCTCTTTAATGTATGAAATTTTGACTTCTTTCTTTTAAATTAATTTATGGAATCTGAAACAATACATCAAAGTGTCAAGGTAAATTGTATTGGTGATAATTTTATTATTAATGAAAAACTCAATGAACCCATTTCAGTTAATAATGAAGATAATGATGTTGAGAAAGAAAGGAAGAAAACATAAGTTTTTATATCCTAAGTTTCTATATAATTTAAAGAATTAAAAAAATATGGGTTAGTGAGCCAACTCACCTAACCCACCAATCCGTGGTGGGTTAAGCCGAGTTACAAAATTTCTGGCTCCCCAAAAAGTGAGTCGGGTTAAGCTCACCTATTTTCAACTCAACCCGTGGTGAGCCGGGTTGACTCACTTTGACACCCCTAAATACATCTAAGAGATATTAGTGCAAACCACTCTTAAACAAGAAATTTGTTTAATATTGTTTCATTATAATTTCAACATTGAAAATGTTCATGATCAACAATAGATAGGGCTAGTAATATGCGTGTAGAGTGGAAGGATTTATAAATTTTAATTCTTTAAGAACGCCCTTATACATATTATATACATTATTTTGTTTATCAATTACAATTAGTTTTTGTTGTTGTAACTAAAGAAGTTGTAGACGTTCATTTCTTTTTCTAAAACTTGACTAATATCATAAATGTTATATGTTCTTCTTGTATACACAATGATGAGTTACAAGTTGTTTATGCAAATAAAATAGTTTATTTTATTGAAATAAATGATATTGAGACAGGGAGATGGTCTAATCAAATTTTCACATTGTAAAGGCCAAGAGATATTAGATGGAGTTCTCATTTTAATTCAAAATGTAGTCTTTTATGGATATTTGGTGTAATAAATACATTTCTTGAAGATTTAGTTATTAATGAATCTACATACTCTCAATGAGGTGATCCTATTTATTTTTTCAAATCTTTATTTCAAGCTTTGTTAAGTATTGCAACAAAAATCTTAAGATATTTGGAATATTATATATTTAGTTTTTAGTACAAAATCATTAATTCAAAAGTTAAGAGATTGTGGTTGGGAAACACTTTTTAAGAAAGTTAGCATTTTTTTTTGTGGCAAAATAAGAAATTGAAGTTTTTGATATGAGTGTTTCTTTCTCTGGTATAATGTGATCATGTTGTCGAAAAGATGTTGTCATAGTTAAACATCATTATCGTATTGATATATTTATTATTGTAATAGATTATCAGTTGAATAATAAATTCAATAAGCACACAACCGAGCTTCTCATATTGAGCATAGGTTTGAATCCTAAAGATGATTACAAAAAAATTAATTTTTCTAATATTTGCAAACTAGTAGAGAAATTTTATTCTTCGAAATTTTTTAAGCAAGAGAATATTCAATTCACATATGAATTACAATATTAAGAATTTGATGTGCGTAAAGCTCCAAAATTTTAAAATTTGTCTACATGTTACAAAGTTATGTCTAAAATTAATGAAAACTATAAAATCAAATATACATCTTTTGATTGATAAATTGATTTGACTTATTTTTACTTTTCTTATTTCTACAACAATAATATAACGTGCATTTTTAGTTATGAAGATTATTAAGACAAGGATTCGAAATAAAATAGAAGATAACTTTCTTACTAATAAAATGGTTGTTTATATTGAAAAGGAGAATGTTGTAAAATTTGATTCAGATGTGATAATTGATTATTTTTATAATATGAAATATTGTCAAACATAGTTGAAATGTACTTAACTTCCTATATACGTATAATTGTTTATGTTAATCTTAAATATACATGAATAATTTATAATTTTTAATGATTTTATATAATATATTTATTTTTATATTATTTTTTATAGGTTAGCTCCTTAATTTAAAATTTATGGTTCCATGATCTAAGGATAAAAAAATGTGATATCTTGTTGATTGTGAAGCTTAAAAAGACTTTAATAAGCTTCATTTTAATTATTTTTTTCACTTGTCCATTATAAGACTTGACTTAACAAGTGATGACTTAAATCCATTTAGGATTATAAGCATATTACATAGTATATGGAGTGCCATAATGATATATTATTTTTCACATTGGTTTCATATGAAACGTGACAATAGTAAGAAAATGATATTGATATGTTTTATAGTCACAGATGGAGGAACTACAAAAGTTATGGAAGTTTAGGACAGAGACTTATGATGCTTAAAAAATGAAACATTTCAAATGAATGCAACTCTTTTCTAGACTATTAGGGAACATCA